TCACCCGCATCAGTACCCAGAAGTTAGAATTTTCTGAGTAAAAAAATGATATATTCACAGAAAAGTGGTCTTGTAAAATTACCGAAGGACTTAAACTGTTTATGAAGCGCCTTGTAGAGCTTTAGGAAGACCTCAGAGTAATGGGGAAACTTGTAGGCTCAAGTAGAGACTCGCACTGAGGATCTGTCGAGTGATGAAGATGTCCGAGGTGGTGAGGAGCTGTGGAACTGCGGTCTAGTAGTGAGTGTTACGACCTCACTTAGTAATACAAATAATCCGGTTCGAGGCTAACTTTCTATGGGATCCTTAAAGCTTGTTCTTACTTGACCCAACCCAGAGTCATAGTTATCAGTAACTGGCAGTAATTGTCAGTCGCACGGGACAGGCGGTAAACAACACTATACCGAACCATCACTACGTGTACTTCTTAACTATATATATACAAATATGTACAACACACAACACCGCAAGTGTCACTCTCACACAGGACACTATACAACACTTCTGTGATCTTCTGTCTCAGCGAGTCCACTTCTCTCTTCTATCACACACCACACAAGGTTCCCTCCCTGAGTCTGTCTTCTGTGGTCCTCACGCCGGCGGGTTGACCTTTCTCAATACATCATGTCCAGTCCTCTACAGTGTCGTCACGGTGTCCCAACACCACCTCTACTCTCCAGCAATACACTGGCAGGGGTCTCCAGCAACACACTGGCAGGGGTCTCCAGCAACACACTGGCAGGGGAATATGAGGGACTCATATTGATGATGGTATTTGTTCAGAGACAAATACCACCACAGCCCACACCATAAAAGCCCACACCACCACCACAGCCCACACCACCACCACAGCCCACACCACCACCACAACCCACAGTCACGTTCGGGTGCAGGGTACCAGTCCGAGATCTTCACAAACACCGTTACTCTGGCCTCCTGCAGAACACTTTACACAAGACGGTGCACCAAGATGGCGGCCCAGCGGCACCGTCTTCAAGTGCTGCCAATACTGGAGGCTTCCTTCCCCCCGACCCGCGGCCTTCTTTATGGTGTGGTGTTCAGCGTGTTGGTGTGGTGTTCAGCGTGTTGGTGTGGTGTTCAGCGTGTTGGTGTGGTGTTCAGCGTGTCGGTGTGGTGTTCAGCGTGTTGGTGTGGTGTTCAGCGTGCTGGTGTGTTCAGGGCGTGTTGGTGTGGTGTTCAGCGTGTTGGTAGCGTGTTGTGGGGCAGCGGGTATGTGTACTTGCATTGTTGACTTGCAGGGGGTTGAGCTTCGTCTCTTTGGTCCCACTTCTAAACCATCAATCGACTAGTTTGAAAGTTCCTAAGCCTATTGGGCTCTGTCATATATTCATTTGACCCTGTGTATGGCGTCTTCCTCCACCAACTCTACCAAGTGCATTTAATTTGTTAACTACTCTGACAAGGAAAAATTTCTGTCTAATTACTGTGGCTGGGTACAAGGTTTCCACCCGTGTCCCATTGTTCGTGTACCGCCTGTGTTAAATAATATACCTTTATCTACCCTATCAATTCCCCTGAGAATTTTGTATGCAGTAATCATGTCTTCTTACTCAGGTCTTCTTGAGGTTTAATTCTTGTAGCGTTTCCTCGTAAATCCTCCCTCTCAGCTGTGGGATTATTCTGGTGGAATATCTCTCAACTTTTTCTAACTTTGTCTACTTGACTGAATATAGATTCCACGCCGGTGCTGCATACTTCAGGATTGGTCTGGTGTATGTGTTATTTAAGGTTCTGACAGATTCCTTACACAAATTTCTAAAAGCAGTTAAGATGGCCAACCTGTCATATGCCGCTGATGATATCCTCTTGACGTGGACTTCAGGAGACAGGGATGCTGTGACACCATCGTCACATCTTCATCTCTACCTGATTCCTGAAGGATTTCATCTCCCATTGGTACCTTGTGTGCGGCGTCCTGCCTTCTTCTCCAAGTGTCAGTACTCCACGTCTGAGTTAAACTCAGGGAGTCAGTTGTTGGACCATGGGGTTTATCCCGGTCATCTTGTTGCCTCTTGCTGCCTTCCTGCGTCTTAATCCTCATAATATTTGCATCAATATTTGCTCTCCTGAGGCATCGCTGCACTCCTTTTGACTCATGACAGTTTCGTTTCTGTGAGTGCTATTACATCTGAGGTTTCTTCGTGTAACGTTTCCTCACGTCCGCTGGCTCTCTTTGTAATCTGTTTTGAGGACACTACTTTGGAGCTCCCGTTCCTCTATCCATCCTCGCTTATCCTGGCGGATGAGCCCCATCCCCCTGGCGTAGTGTTATGGGGGGTGGGGGGGGGGGAATGGGGGTTATTGCATAGTGAGGAGGAAGAGCACTTTGTTGACAAGGAGGAGCTGGGTAGCGAAAATGGGTTTGAAGGTTCATGGGGGTGGATTGAGGAGTGGGGTTGGGATGATATGGAGGGGAGGAGGGGGTTGTTAGCACCTCAACCCACTCTAACATACGGACACATGCAACCCCCCCACCCCCCCCCGCGAGCACCACATCAAGCAATGACCTGGTGAGCTAGAGGGCACCAGGTCATGCCGCCTGCACATGCAACAGCCAGGTCAGCCTGGAAACAAACGCCTGAGATATCCACGTTGCATGTTGCGTGAGCCCATCCACTGCACGTTGCTGGGGGTTAAATATAGCCGCGGATTTATTATCTATTTCATTCAATTTCGAGATTTATCTTAGATATAGTAGTCTCTCCCGGCGTCTAATAGGGATAATATATCGCCTCAATATTATCAGCTGTAATACCGAGCTTACGCCGTGTGTGTGTGTGGTGGGGGGGGGGGGTAGGGCGGGGGAGATGGAGATTAATTGAGGTAAAAAGGTGTATTAGGGTAAGGGGTGAAGTTTTGGGGAAGGGGATTGTGGGAAGGGGGATGGGTTGGGAAGGGAAACGGTGATTTTTGTCCTGGCCCCTGGTGTACTGTGTGGACCCTCCTGGCCCCTGGTGTACTGTGTGGACCCTCCTGGCCCCTGGTGTACTGTGTGGACCCTCCTGGCCCCTGGTGTACTGTGTGGACCCTCCTGGCCCCTGGTGTACTGTGTGGACCCTCCTGGCCCCTGGTGTACTGTGTGGACCCTCCTGGCCCCTGGTGTACTGTGTGGACCCTCCTGGCCCCTGGTGTACTGTGTGGACCCTCTTGGCCCCTGGTGTACTGTGTGGACCCTCTTGGCCCCTGGTGTACTGTGTGGACCCTCCTGGCCCCTGGTGTACTGTGTGGACCCTCCTGGTCCCTGGTGTACTGTGTGGACCCTCCTGGTCCCTGGTGTACTGTGTGGACCCTCCTGGTCCCTGGTGTACTATGTGGACCCTCCTGGCCCCTGGTGTACTGTGTGGACCCTCCTGGCCCCTGGTGTACTGTGTGGACCCTCCTGGTCCCTGGTGTACTGTGTGGACCCCCCTGGCCCCTGGTGTACTGTGTGGACCCTCCTGGTCCCTGGTGTACTGTGTGGACCCTCCTGGTCCTGGTGTACTGTGTGGACCCTCCTGGTCCCTGGTGTACTGTGTGGACCCTCCTGGTCCCTGGTGTACTATGTGGACCCTCCTGGTCCCTGGTGTACTGTGTGGACCCTCCTGGCCCCTGGTGTACTGTGTGGACCCCCCTGGCCCCTGGTGTACTGTGTGGACCCTCCTGGTCCCTGGTGTACTGTGTGGACCCTCCTGGCCCCTGGTGTACTGTGTGGACCCTCCTGGCCCCTGGTGTACTGTGTGGACCCCCCTGGCCCCTGGTGTACTGTGTGGACCCTCCTGGTCCCTGGTGTACTGTGTGGACCCTCCTGGTCCCTGGTGTACTGTGTGGACCCTCCTGGTCCCTGGTGTACTGTGTGGACCCTCCTGGTCCCTGGTGTACTATGTGGACCCTCCTGGTCCCTGGTGTACTGTGTGGACCCTCCTGGCCCCTGGTGTACTGTGTGGACCCCCTGCCCCTGGTGTACTGTGTGGACCCTCCTGGTCCCTGGTGTACTGTGTGGACCCTCCTGGCCCCTGGTGTACTGTGTGGACCCTCCTGGCCCCTGGTGTACTGTGTGGACCCCCCTGGCCCCTGGTGTACTGTGTGGACCCTCCTGGTCCCTGGTGTACTGTGTGGACCCTCCTGGTGTGCAGCTATTTACATACTTTAGGACATTTGCTTGATGGTGTAAACACGTGCATATGTTAACACAAGAGGATGGTCATCGGCTCCAGCGTACGCTTCGTGCTGCTGCTCCTGCGTACGCTTCGTGCTGCTTCTCCTGCGTACGCTCCGTGCTGCTGCTCCTGCGTGCGCTCCGTGCTGCTGCTCCTGCGTGCGCTCCGTGCTGCTGCTGCTGCGTGCGTGTGCCCCGGGGGGCGTGACGGCACCCGTGCTGACCAAGCCTCCCGTACTCCACCTATCTCCTGGACACTTGTGTTGTTTGTCTTGATGGGAATTAGGTCGTTTGTGTGACGGGTCGCTGCTGGTCTGGTAGTGAATGGGGTGGTTCATGCTCCAGCAGGAGGCACTGCCACACTCCTTGAGTTAATTTTTTTCTGACAGTGGGAATGGGGTCGTTTCTCCCCCACGTCCACATGCGTCTCTACCTTCCTCATCCCTTGTTCCTACCTTCCTCATTAATGAGCTTGATATTATGTAGCCGTTATAAGTAGACAGTGGGGGGGGGGGGGGGGTAGAAGGCCACCTGTGAGGCCGCTCTACTCCTCGCTACTCTACCACTCTACCACACTCCCTCCAGCGGTAGAAGCAACACCAGCCAGCCAGCATCAGACGCGTTGGAAATTTAGTGCTGCTCGTGAGTATGACGAATATCGTCAAGTTCTGGCGATTGGTTCAAATATGAGGGAGTGTGAGGGACTCACACAAGTGTGTGAGGGGAGTGTGAGGGACTCACACAAGTGTGAGGGGAGTGTGAGGGGGCTCACACAAGTGTGTGTGAGGGAGTGTGAGGGGCTCACACAAGTGTGTGTGAGGGAGTGTGAGGTACTCACACTTACCTTGAGAGGTCAGGTGAGGCTCCTGGGCCGGCCTGCCTGCGCCTTCACACACCCACGATCTGAAATTTGTCAGTTATATTAGGCTGTTGTTGTTCTTGAAGTGTGTGTGGGGGTGGTAGTGTGTGGTGGTGGTAAACAGGTTCAAGGTTAGACAGGAAGTGTGTAGACAGCTAAAATGTGTTACATTTTCACAAATATAACCTCCTAATTCTACAAATTCTAAATTCTAAATAAAATACATCAATATATTATATAATAGTGTAAAGAGCCGCTATGGAGAAGGCCAAATATAATGAACCTTCTGTATACTGTGAATAAGTACCATACTCCAATACCCTCTACAACAGGACAACCGGTTGTAACCCCCCCCCCCCCCCTCCCATCATTACAACACCCGCTGCACTCGCTTATTCGAATTGGCAGATGTTTCGAACTATGAGGAATTGTACGGGAACTGTTCGGAATACGCCGGTTTGATCGTTAAGGGAAAACAAATGTTTAATATATCCCGGAGAGAGGCCCCATCACCGCCTGGTTTATGAATGGTAACGACAAAAGTTGGGTCGACGCCCAACACGACCAGACTACATATTATTCTCACCATTTCCCTGTTTTTTGTTTTTTTAGTTAAATGTTTAAGTGATTGGTAGTATGTATGTATGTATACATGCATGCAGATATGTATAGCTATGTGTGTGGATGTATACATATAGCGATGTTAAGCAGGTGTTGCTCTGGTGACTGAGGTCCATAGTGGAGGAATTCCTACACATAACACTAATATATTAACATGGTCATAAGATGTTGTTATTTACTTTCATTAGTCATAAAAGAATTATAGAGAACGTTATCTGTAATGTCACGTCACAACAAACATTTAATAACACAAGTACACGACCAGTCTAGACATTAGAATTAATAAAAAAAATATTCTTTATGACTGGATCTAATATAATTATCAATAAATCTAAAGTCTACCTCCCAATTGTCAATATAAATACAAAATTAGAACCGAAATTTCGGGACGCCGCGAGGAAGGAGGCCAGCAGCTCCAGACAAAGTGTAAACAAAAAGAACTTCCTGAAAGGTTTAGCAAACACGGCACTACAAAGATTTATTATAGATCGTCCAACAGTGTTGCAGCCCTAGCGACCTTATCATCAATAACAGGAAGTGCTGAGTATCCGTCTGTACTAAATATCTGTTGTTAGTTTTGGCCATAAAGTATTAAGATAGGCGGTTAAACAGCGGTGCCGTCACCCCAACAAAAGTAAGCCTAGTCTCATTATTATGGCAAATACAAATTTCATGTGCAGGCGATGAGTCACAATAACGTGGCTGAAGTATGTTGACCAATCCACACACTAGAAAATGAAGGGACGACGACGTTTCGGTCCGTCCTGGACCGAAACGTCATTGTCCCTTCATTTTCTAGTGTGTGGATTGGTCAACAAATTTCATGTGTCACACCTGTACTTTATATGTTATTGTCAGTTTTTACTATGCAACTTGTTGGTACGAAAACTGTGATCCATGAACACCGAGTGTTCTGTGCCTCACACAGCGCCCCCAGGGATGTGTCACGGAACACAACGGTCTGTGGACAGGGTTTTAATCGAAACAACGTATCGAGGGCCAGTTCGCTGTCAGGAGTATTGACCAGGTTTGTTGTTGTCTTCAGACAGTTCTATTATGGGGGACTCGATAGACACAGATAGACAGCTGTGTAGACGCTGGAAACTGTCCGTACCAGACACTGGTGACTGCCTATACCTGGACACCTTTCTGTCTATTTATCTATTATTATTCATGTAGGAGTTTAGAAAGCTTAGATGTCTGGGAGGTTACATCCACCACGCCTTGGTGTCAACAGCCGGATGTGTGGACCACAACCCCCTGGTGGTTGTGGTTGTGGTGATTATAGCGCCTGGTGTGTTATCAGGTGACGGGTCTCACGCCGGCGTCAATAACAGTGACAGACCGCTAGGCGAGTGACGGCCGCCGGTGATGCCTTTGTGGCAGGTCTGTCACACGAAGTGACAGGCTGCTGGACGACCCAGGTGACCCTGGCACTGGTGGGCGCACCCTGGCACTGGTGGGGGCACCCTGGCACTGGTGGGGGCACCCTGGCACTGGTGGGGGCACCCTGGTACTAGTGACAGGCTCGTGCCAGATATGCCTCGGGAGACGCTGGTGCCAGATATACCTTTGGGCGGACTACACAATGTAAAATATTCATTGTTAAATAGTATGTAAATGAGAGTGGAGACACGTCACCAGCTCGGCCAGCAGGACGAGTAGCAGCTGAACCATCAGTAACAACACCACCAACAGCAGCGCCAGCAGCAGCAGCAACAACAACACCAACAGCAGCACCAGCAGCAGCAACAGCACAGCACCAGCACGAAGATCTGGATGACACTTAAGTAGCACTTAAGCCAGCGTCGTAAACCTCCTGCAAGATACCGCTGAGAGGCAGTAAAGAAGGTGGAGGGTGAGAACGGGAGCCCAGGAGCTGTGACCTGTACCAGGGGCGAGGACGGGAGGCCCCCTCCCCCGCCAGCTGCGGAGAGCCACCTGACGAAGCTGTTAACGCTCCTGGTGTTAATTGCCTCACCTTGCTCCAGCTGGCGCTGTATGGTGTGTGACTCCTTTACCCTTTATTATAAAACTGTCCAGCTGGTGGCTCTGAGAGTCACAGTGGTGGACCTGGTGGCTCTGAGCGTCACAGTGGGGGGAGCTGGCCACAGTGGGGGGAGCTGGCCACAGTGGGGGGAGCTGGCCACAGTGGGGGGAGCTGGCCACAGTGGGGGGAGCTGGCCACAGTGAGGAAGCTGACCCCCAGAGGGTCTTAGTGCTAGAAGGGCGCCACAGGACAATAACAGACACGGCCTTTTGTCTATTTATGTTTTAATTATCATAATTTCGTTATTTTTGTGAACTGTCCAGCATAGGGTTGTGGGAGAGAGAGGGGAAGGAGAGGGGAGGGCGGAGAGGGAGTGAGGCCGAGGATGATTGACGATATTATTGAAAGAATATGACGAGTTATGGGAGCAAGGCCAGGGGAGAGCCCGAGAGAGAGAGCAGGAGAGAGGGCAGGAGAGAGAGGGCGGGAGAGAGAGAGAGAGAGAGGGCGGGAGAGAGGGTAGGGTAAGGATGGCAGCATGAGACTGTACAAGCTGTGAACACTTACAACCACCAGTGAACACAGCTGGACCTTCAAGTGCTGCTACGAAATTTAATATGTATATTTTACTGAAGCATTACTGTCAGTGTGAGTAATGTCAGTGTGAGTAATATTAGTGTGAGTAATGTTAGTGTGAGTAATGTTAGTGTGAGTAATATTAGTGTGAGAAATGTTAGTGTGAGTAATATAAAAGTCTTTCAGTGAAATGTTGACACGTCTCCAGTAATATTATGTATTACAACTACAAACTATAGTCACAATCCCAGCAGATATTATCACGCTTTTGAACGGTGAGGTGTGTGTGTGTGTGTGTGTGTGTGTGTGTGTGTGTGTGTGTGTGTGTGTGTGTGTGTGTGTGTGTGTGTGTGTGTGTGTGTGTGTGTGTGTGTGTGTGTGTGTGTGTGTGTGTGGGAAAAAAAAGAAATTAGTAACACTTGATTGATTGACAACTGAGAGGCGGGCCGAAAGAGAAGAGCTCAACACCCGCAAGCACAACTAGGTGAACACACACACACACACCGTCAATAATTATGCTTGACAGCAAAATCCTTCATTTTCCTCTCAACTTGTTTATTATAAATCATTCAGTATCATGTCGATTGTAGTAAAGTTTCGTATTAATGAAAGGATTGTGAATGTGAATGACGGTGACCCCCTGGGCACGGTGTCACTGTTCTCGTCACCATCGAGGCCTAGCTGCTCACTATCGGCTAAGTTGTTCACTTTATCTAATTTTTTCCTCGACTCAAGTTTCAACACTTGGCAGACTTGATGGAGTAATCCACATGCAAGCAGTTTTCTTGCTCTCATATATCATATTATGTTTTGCTGCCGAGCACACAAAGTTGGCCAGCCTGGAACTTGGCGCAGCCGGCGGCGGGGAAGGTCACCTCCACCCCGGGGAGGGTCACCAGTACCATCTCCAAAGGAAAGGTCTCTACCAGCCTAGGGAGGTCACCACTACCCCCAGGGAGATCTCACTACCCTAAGGAGGTCACCACTACCCCAGGGAGATCGTCATCGCTCCCAGGGAGATCTCACTACCCAAGGGAGGACACCATTGCCACAGGGAGGTCGCTAACACCACAGAGGGTCATCACCACCCCTGGGAGGTCACTATCACTATATTTCACATTGGCATGCTAACTTGCCTTTACTCTCACTACCAAGGGCCTGGGTAAGTAAGTAATTATCAAAAGAAGGCACCAAACCGGAAAGGCTATGTAGCACCACCAAATGTGTGGAATAATCAGAGGGCGCTAAATATCACCAAGGATGCCAATACGAGAACAAAAACGCATAAGGCGAACGATATCAAAAGTATCCGATTCACCAAGAATTCTATCGAGGGACGGTCGGAACGCAAGACACATGCTCGTCCTGGAGGTCAGGACATTTAACAAGGATATGCACTACGGTAAGAGGGACAATGCAATTTGGACAACAAGGAGCTGGGCGGCGCTCCATTAAGTGACCGTGAGTTAAGCGCGTATGGCCAAGACGCAACCGCGCCAGAGCCGTTTCCCACCGCTGGTTACGGTGGCAGGAGGAAGGCCACAGGGACACACAATGCTTAAGAGTACGCAGTTTGTTACCAACAACAGAAGACCAACAACCCTGCCAACGGGCAAGGATGGAGGAATGAATAACCGGATAAAAGTCGGAAAAAGTAATACCTTTACGGGAAACGGGAGGCGTCTACTGAATCGACAAGGTGCCTATGGAGGGAGAAATCGTCAGGAGGCGAAGAATCACGAGGGAGGAGATCAAAGTATTTGGCCCACGAAGCGAGACCAAACAAGGCTTGAAATGCATCAGTATGGGAAGGAATTGAGCGAGCGCGGCCGTGGCGAGGACGGCGTTGAGAATTCCCAAAGAGAGAGGGGTTAAAAGGTACAGTAGTCACTACTAGAGACTGAGCCGTGCCAGGGGACGAGGTGGTCACCACTAGGGGCTTGGGGCTCGACCCAACCACAGAGGAGGGAGGAGGAAGGGTAGCCAAGGGGAATAGTCAGGAAGGTCAGGAGCAGCAAGGTCGGGGCCCAATGCAGCGGGGGCTACAAAGCCCGGTCTTCCAACACAGTCCTACTCGGGGGCTTGGTTGCCCACCCCACGAGTCCGAGAAGGTAGAAGAGGAACAGAATTAGACAAAGACGAGACGAAAAACATTCATTCACGAATGTGCCCCCCATACTCACCATGGAGCTACAATTAAAGGCAGGACACTCGACAAGAAGCCAACCCCGATCATGCCGGGACCCCATAGGGGTGCGTCTCGAGTATACGCCCCACAAACGTCACCTTAAGATCCGTCAGTCCGTCGAGATCGAGTTCAGTGACGAAAGGGGGATTGACAATAAAAGGTTCCCCTCGCTCTCGACGTTGGGTACTACAGTTCTACGGGCGCAAGAGTATGTATGCCTTCCCAAGCGCCCGGGTGTCAAAATAGAAGAAGTCCAAAAGGATAACCAAAACAAGTAAAAGGTCGGCAGGAAACGACAAGCAGATAGGAGAAGAGGGGGAGAAAAACGAAACAAGGAAAAGGAAAAGTGATCCGGAACAATTGGGGAAGACAGCAGCAGGAGCACAAGGCCACAAAAGGACAGAGGACTGTCCCATGGAGAATCACACTCTGGCAGCCGACCACCAAGCCCCCTCACGGCGCCAACGGGCTGGATGGGGAGGGCATGGGTAGACAAAGGGACTGGGAAGACCAAAGGCCTGGGTAGTCCAAGGGTCTGGGTAGACTAAGGCCCTGGGTAGACCAAGGGGCTGGGTAGACCAAGGGGCTGGGTAGACCACGTTCCTAAGATCCGATAATATTTTGATCATCAGCGCGAGGATCGCATTCGAGGCGGCGTTCAGGAGCACTTCTGCTCCTCTAACATTAAAAATCCCAACTCTTAATGGTGCTTGAGCGGTCACCACCACGGGCACCAGTCCGTCTCACCAGCAGCACTCCGGCCTGCTCACACAACCTACTCACAAATATACTTCTTTTTCCAAACTTATTTGGGCCTGGATAATGGTAGGCCAGAGTGACGGTGTGTGTGAGCGCGGCGTCGGGAGGCCAGGCGTCGCCCCACAGGGAAGAGGCACTCATAAATACAATTATGAGCCCAGGCACGGCGGTGGAGATCAATAAGAATCTTGGTGTATGAGGTGGACCGTCAGGCTGGCTTCCCTCCCCTGCTCCCGGGGACACTGCGAGAGGCTGTGTTGATCGTCTCGTCCATCGTGTCACAGCGAGAGGAAGGTGACACAGTTATACGCGTCTCGGGCAGGAACTACGGTACAGCTCGGCGAAATATTTATAAGGCGGACTGACTTCTTACCTAATTTTTGTCACGCTGCCTTCACAGCGCTGACGAGAGACGTGAGAATGGCGGGAAAGTTGACAATGTTGTGTTTCGGTGTGCAATATTGTCGTGTCTAACTTGCTAATGTTGCTATTATGATTGAACGTTTCTAGTTGGTAATTAGTGTGTTTAGAGATACCGCGTTCGACGAACATTTTATTTCGAAGTTCCCAAGACCCGGCAGAAGAGATCAGAACGACACCTTTGTGCACCTGATTGCACTTGCGTGCATGTCTGTTTCGCCTGTGTAAGTGTATTGAACAGTTAATGGAATGACTCCTTCCCCTATATTAACATGATATTGTAAGCGTAATCACCTTGTTGAACTCGCCTAGATATGTTTAGTGGATCGAACTACGGCATCTTAGTGACGTCTCTATTTCTTGAGCAGTTAACACACTCTCCTTCCTTATCATTCTACCCCATCGGTTCTTTTGTCACTACTCGCTGTACTTCCCTCAACGGTATGAGTGTGTGGTGGTCCAGGGTGTGTGTGTGTGTGTGTGTGTGTGTGTGTGTGTGTGTGTGTGTGTGTGTGTGTGTGTGTGTGTGTGTGTGTGTGTGTGTGTGTGTGTGTGTGTGTGGTGGTCCAGGGGTTTGTAATTACCTAAGTGTAATTACCTAAGTGTAGTTACAGGACGAGAGCTACGCTCGTGGTATCCCGTCTCCCCAGCTCTCTTTGTCATATAACGCTTTGAAATTATTGACGGTTTTGGCCTCCACCACCTTCTCACCTAACTTGCTCCAACCGTATACCACTCTGTTTACAAAAGTGAATTTTCTTATATTTCTCCGGCAGCTTTGTTTCGTTAGTTTAAATCTATGACCTCTTGTTCTTGAAGTTCCGGGTCTCAGGAATTCTTCCCTATCAATTTTATCGATTCCTATTATTATTTTGTATGTAGTGATCATATCGCCTCTTTTTCTTCTATCTTCTAGTTTTTTGCATATTTAATGCCTCTAACCTCTCCTCGTAGCTCTTGTCCTTCAGTTCTGGGAGCCACTGAGTGGCATGTCGTTGCACGTTTTCCAGTTTGTTGATGTGCTTCTTAAGATATGGGCACCACACAACCGCAGCATATTCCAGCTTTGGTCTGACAAAAGTCGTGAATAATTTCTTTAATATTTCTCCATCCATGGATTTAAAAGCAATTCTGAAGTTATAAAGTGTAGCATAGGCTCCTCGCACAATGTGGTCCTCAGGTGACAGTTTTCTATCTAGAACCACCCCTAGATCCCTTTCTTTGTCAGAATTCTTTAAAGATATCTCACATAATATATAGGTTGTGTGGTGTCTATGTTCTCCAATTCCACATTCCATAACATGGCATTTATTCACATTAAATTCGATTTGCCAAGTGTTGCTCAATATATTTATTTTGTCCAGGTCATCTTGAAGGGCATGACAATCATCTAAGTTTCTTATCCTTCCTATTATCTTAGCATCATCAGCATACATGTTCATATAATTCTGTATACCAACTGGTAGATCATTTATGTAGACAATAAACATCACTGGTGCAAGAACTGAACCCTGTGGTATTCCACTTGTGCCATTTCTCCAGTCTGATACATTGCCTCTGATTACAGCCCTCATTTTTCTATCAGTCAGAACATTTTTCATCCATGTTAGAAGCTTACCTGTCACCCTTCCAATATTTTCCAGTTTCCAGAACAACCTCTTATATGGAACTCTGTCGAAAGCCTTTTTTAGGTCCAGATAGATGCAGTCAACAACCATCTCTTTCCTTTCCTGTGTGTGGTGGTCCAGGTGTGTGTGTGTGTGTGTGTGTGTGTGTGTGTGTGTGTGTGTGTGTGTGTGTGTGTGTGTGTGTGTGTGTGTGTGTGTGTGTGTGTGTACTCACCTAATTGTGTGTACTTCCACACAAACACACATATCCAATGTGTGTGTGTGTGTGTGTGTGTGTGTGTGTGTGTGTGTGTGTGTGGTGGTCCAGGGGTGTGAGAGTGTGGTGGTCCAGGTGTGTGTGTGTGTGGTGGTCCAGGGGTGTGTGTGTGTGTGTGTGGTGGTCCAGGGGTGTGAGAGTGTGGTGTTCCAGGGGCGTGAGAGTGTGGGAGTGCCAAACCTGGCTCTCCCACACACCCACGCGCCACACTGCACCAATCGATGGCCAGTGACTGTGTTGCAGCCAACACACTCAACGACGATCATCCTGCAAGTGGCATCTGATGTCGCGCTTGCTGCAGGCGGCGGTGATTGCAATGCTCACGTTGCCAAGGATGGCTCAACGAGTCTTAAGACCGCCAAACACGAACTGTTACCCTCCCGTCCTTCATCGTGCTCCTTAGGGAAGTAAATGTAACGAAAGTGAAATTTCCACAATCAAATGTATCCCAAAACATATATCAACACATGAATCAAAATATACATACTTAAATTATCTGTTTAAACCCACAAATTTCCTGGACAAAAGAAAAATATAAGTGACAAAATAAGACACTTCAAGATGCTGCGACAGAGAGCCATCACCGTCACAGAGAACCATCACCGTCACACTCCAGCCTCACAGAACCAGCACCGTCACACTCCAGCCTCACAGAACCATCACCGTCACACTCCAGCCTCACAGAACCAGCACCGTCACACTCCAGCCTCACAGAACCAGCACCGTCACACTCCAGCCTCACAGAACCAGCACCGTCACACTCCAGCCTCACAGAACCAGCACCGTCACACTCCAGCCTCACAGAACCAACACCATCACACTCCAGCCTCACAGAACCAACACCGTCACACTCCAGCCTCACAGAACCAACACCGTCACACTCCAGCCTCACAGAACCAGCACCGTCACACTCCAGCCTCACAGAACCAGCACCGTCACACTCCAGCCTCACAGAACCAACACCGTCACACTCCAGCCTCACAGAACCAACACCGTCACACTCCAGCCTCACAGAACCAACACCGTCACACTCCAGCCTCACAGAACCAACACCGTCACACTCCAGCCTCACAGAACCAGCATCGTCACACTCCAGCCTCACAGAACCAGCACCGTCACACTCCAGCCTCACAGAACCAGCACCGTCACACTCCACAGAACCAGCACCGTCACACTCCAGCCTCACAGAACCAACACCGTCACACTCCAGCCTCACAGAACCAGCACCGTCACACTCCAGCCTCACAGAACCAGCACCGTCACACTCCAGCCTCACAGAACCAGCACCGTCACACTCCAGCCTCACAGAACCAGCACCGTCACACTCCAGCCTCACAGAACCAGCACCGTCACACTCCAGCCTCACAGAACCAGCACCGTCACACTCCAGCCTCACAGAACCAGCACCGTCACACTCCAGCCTCACAGAACCAGCACCGTCACACTCCAGCCTCACAGAACCAGCACCGTCACACTCCAGCCTCACAGAACCAGCACCGTCACACTCCAGCCTCACAGAACCAGCACCGTCACACTCCAGCCTCACAGAACCAGCACCGTCACACTCCAGCCTCACAGAACCAGCACCGTCACACTCCAGCCTCACAGAACCAGCACCGTCACACTCCAGCCTCACAGAACCAGCACCGTCACACTCCAGCCTCACAGAACCAGCACCGTCGCACTCCAGCCTCACAGAACCAGCACCGTCACACTCCAGCCTCACAGAACCAGCACCGTCACACTCCAGCCTCACAGAACCAGGACCGTCACACTCCAGCCTCACAGAACCAGCACCGTCACACTCCAGCCTCACAGAACCAGCACCGTCACACTCCAGCCTCACAGAACCATCACCGTCACACTCCAGCCTCACAGAACCAGCACCGTCACACTCCAGCCTCACAGAACCAGCACCGTCACACTCCAGCCTCACAGAACCAACACCGTCACACTCCAGCCTCACAGAACCAGCACCGTCACACTCCAGCCTCACAGAACCAGCACCGTCACACTCCAGCCTCACAGAACCAGCACCGTCACATCCCTACACCTGGGATGAGAGAGTTAACAGTTGGGGAGGTAGTCCCTGATCATCGACTACAATGCCGTAATCCGGAGACAGCTGACGTGGGTGAGTTAAAATCATGGATTACCCGAGGCGGATTAATCCCGAGATGTGGCGGCCTCGGGAGACGACCGAAGGCAGATGTAAATTCGGTCCGCCGCCAGCGGCCGTTGTGCCGTATTTCGCACTGTTCGTTAATCCGGCTCGACGTGTAATTGTTTCGGAGCCAGCCGCGCGTCATCCGGAAATTGTTTGTCAGGCGGTCGTAAAATACCGGATCAGTTCGGCTAAACCGAAAACCCAGCCGGGAATTATTTCCATGAAAAGTCTGAAACGGCATGATGATGATGATGATGATGATGATGATGATGATGATGATGATGGTGATGATGATGGTGATGATGATGATGATGATGATGATGATGATGGTGATGATGATGATGATGATGATGATGGTGATGATGATGGTGATGATGATGGTGATGGTGATGATGATGATGATGATGATGATGATGATGATGATGATGATGGTGATGATGATGGTGATGGTGATGTCGCTCGCTTTCCTGGTCATTGTCGTCGTCACGAATGTCACGGTCGTCATGACTCGTGATTGTGAGGTCGTTAAGGAGACTGTAGTCGTAGGTATACTATTTCACTTCACAATTTATTATTATCATTATTGACAAAGTTACTACACTGCCTTACACTTTGGAAGAAGGTGACGGGAAGATCCAATAAGGTGTAGGAATAAAACCCACATGTTCGGATGACACCTACACACTCTCAAGGTGATGTAGAGAGTGTTCTCAGTATTGTCTCAGTGTTTACAACACTGTATACAGCACCTTGAGAGAGGCTGGATGGGTTACAACCCAAAATGTGGTTGTTAATAATTACACATAGATGTTGTGGGTCTTTCACCTTCCTTATTAAGGTGATATATTAATGAACAAATCCAAAGAAACCTTGACGCGGCACTCTTGTAGGTGCAGGTGTACCCCAGGTTGCAATTCTTTTGACCATGTCATAGTACAGTCGACTAGATCGCGCCTGGAAACATCCATCGCATAGGTTCGAACCCTCATCACGGCTCCTGTGGATTTGTTCATTATTACTATTATCACAGCTGAGACTCCCCGCGTCGCAGGAGTATGAGGAGACATTTCCACTACACACACCATCTCCATAGTGCCACTACCTTCCCAACTACCCTCTCTCAAACAACCCCTCTTCATAAACAATGACCAAATGCTAATTAAGCCACGTGCCAAAAACTCTGCTAATGAATAAAACGTTATTTTCAAGTGATTCATGGCAGATTGAATTCGAAATTGTCTCGAACAGTGCTTCTCTCGTTTCATATGTTCCAATCCCACGTCTCTACATGCAGCCCGTCCTCCAAACAAAGACCCAAAAGTGATTCCATGCACCCGCAGACCCCCTGTTTATGAATGAAAAACGGTTTACACACGACTCACGACTGATGACGTTTGAACACTTCCGGAAAAAGTGCTTCACTACAAGTGCTACAGGTACGATCCCTTCATGAAGAAGTGCACTTCCCAGGACCAACGATGCTGCAAGTGCGCCGGGAACCACCACTTCAAGGACTGCGTCAACGACTGTCTTGACTGCCATCTCTGTACAAGGGGCTACACTGTTGTCTCCGCTGAGTGCCCCCGAAGAATTGAGGAAACCAAGGTGTCTGACACTAGGCAGGTCAACACCACTTGCCGCGCATCAACAACTTTCAACGTACAAGCCTTCGGGTGGAGGTGGATCTACCATGCAGCCTGCAAGCCAATAGGGGCCCAGCTCCCTGTCCGCCAACCATTCAACGACTCAGCCGCCACCGCCACCTCTATGGCCAATCATCAAGCCAGCCATCACCACACCAGATGCCGGCTCCCAACATCGTTAATTGTACCGACCGCACTTACGCGACTGGCAGAAATGATGGCAGGCACGAACTACAAGGAATTCATCCGAATTCTCAACAAATTCTACGTTGCAAATGGCCTCCCAATATTTACCGTTCCAGTGGAAACTTCTCACGCCTACAGCTTCAGTCACTGCTACCACTTCAGCGTCTAGCATCACCATATCCGCAGCTGCAGTCGCAGATCTCTTGTCTGCCGACTCCCGACCGCAGCAACCAGCATCGGATCACCTGCTTACTGAATCAACTGCATCTCCTGATCCTGCCCCTGATGAAACGCTTCCAGATCCTCCTGCCACACCTAAACCTGAAAACCTTAGCCAATCATCTGATGACTCGTTTGAAGTTGTCAACACTCCTGCTGATTCTACACCTCAAGCATCTGCTCACACTCCTGTACCCACATCTCCTGTACCTCTTCTACTTTCTCCACAACTACTAATTACTGCAGAATCTGAAGTTCTGGACTATTGGGAGATTCCTACCTTCGATGAACTGCGGCAGGAGTTTCCCACCGACACAGACAAGATTATCCACAGCAAGATAGCAGACCGCCACGTTATGAATTCAATTCGCAGCTGAAGACGCCTTACTGGATGTGTAAATCGTGACGGGACTCTTGTTATATCTGAAACCATATTTAGATTCCACGACATCAACTCTCTCCGCCTCGATCTCTTCGTTCCACACTGCTTTGAACTGTACCCTGGACGTCACCTAAGAACCAGACAAAGATTCCTTACCTGGAAAGAATATGGAAGGCCGGATCAAGGAAGAAAGAAGAAGTAGAAGAAAGTAAGTAGAAGAAAGAAGAGTAAAAAAAGACTCAAGAATGAAAACACCAACAGAAGACAGACTGACACCACCTACAAATGAAGAAGCACCGCCAAAGCCGCTCTTCCTGACACGACTCGCCGCCTTCAGCCAGTTGTGGGGGTGTTCCAGCATCACCTCTCGACACGCAGCTGGGTTAAGCACTGGCTCCTCTTTTACGACTTCAGCGCTTCCTCTCACCGACTTCTCTTAAGCTGTCCCCACTTCAAGGCTCGTCCAACGGGTACCTTAACCTGTATCTTATTGTATTGTTGTAGCTGTCTGGCTTGCTGTATCCCTCTTCCTCTTTCATGTAAAAGGTATTTAAAAATAGGTCGAGTTGTCCGTAGAATTGTTCAGCGCGCTTCCCTTAGTTATAGTTATCTGTGGTAGATGGCTACAGGTGACGGATCTCCCAATCCTGAGCACTCGAGGTGTAAACTGTAAGCAGGAACTGGGGCATGATCTCCCACACCACATCACCGAATGCCCTGTCATTAGACCATTCAGACCCGATGGCATGAGGTACCTGGAACTTTGCAATCACTTATGACTAACCATCCTGCGAGATGGGGACATTTTAGTATCACGTAGCTAGTTCTTGACACAGTGTACGCCCCTTCATGTAGTCTAGGACTCTAAGAGCAGCTGCATAAATGCAGACGTACATAAATATTAATTATTCAAATAGTATTATCTGGATATCGGAGTATATAAATACGCCAATAATCCATCCATCAATGCAGTTATGTCCACTGGTAATCTCCGTTACAAAATATAATTATTGGAAGCTGAACTTTATGTTACTGTTACGACATTATACTGTGCATCACACGTGGCACTGTTACGACACCATACTGTCCATCACACGTGGCACTGTTGCTGCTACGACACCATACTGTGCATCACACGTGGCACTGTTGCTGCTACGACACCATACTGTGCATCACACGTGTCACTGTTACTGCTACGACACTATACTGTACAGCACACATGGCAAAGTCTGGCACTGTAGCGAAATTACTCCTAATCACTCTACCTCAATGTTCTTCACTATACCCCGTAAATGTGCACTCATGTTCACCGTTATCGAACATGCAGACATCATTCACCGTCATCACCACTGTTGATCATGTTCACTGTAAATGTTTACGTCTCGCCACTAAAGGTGCTCGCTTGGTTCACTAGTACATCACAGTCTCACAGTCTCTCAGTCTCACAGTCTCAATATCTGGTAGAACTAGGAGCTACTTAGTGTTGTTCTCTTGGTCACCTGCGCTGAGGCGTTACTAGTATTTTCTAAGTCTAAGACTCGTTTAGGGAACCTCAAGAAACTGTGTCTTGAGTTATGTGCAGAACTAGACTTGGCGAAGACGTAAATGAAGTCTCTCAGGCAGACTGTCAACCTCCGTAATCACTGTAGGTGACAGTAGTGGACCGGCCTCAGCGAGGAAAAGCTTGGGATTAACACGAGGTTAAATGGATTATACCTTTAGATTAACAGAAGGTTAAATAGATTATACCTTTGGATTAACACAAGTTTAAGCTAAATCCTCTCTCGACAGGGGGACAGTAAGGGGTGACAGGACTGAACTGTAACAAACGGGATATTTAAAAAAAAAACGATAAATTTGTCAACACAAGACAGAATACGAAACAATGGATAAGTTACGATTAAAGCAGACCTGGGTAAATATTGGTTTCGGGAATACATCTTGATGATTTTGCGAAAAAAAATCCAGGTTACGAAATGGAGGTGGTAGCGGTGAAGAGCTCCGGGTGAGTGTGTTACAAAGCTGCCTCCCATGACTCAATAAACTTTCTGATATTTAATTTACTTTTATGGTCTTTTCTTTGGACTTTTCTATCTACTCTGGTGAGTTATAAGACACGACGGCCCCACGGGTCACGGTAATTACATATAGCATTTCCCTCTCTGTTAGTCCACTGATTCACCAACTGCCTCAACCCAACAGTTTGCAACATAAATGGTTCACCATAATTAGACCAATCATCTCTCTGGTTGCTGGAGCAACAGCAAGAGGCTCCATCAGTGGCTGCTTCTCTCTCTGTCACAACCACCGCCACGCCGACGGCTTGCCTGCCCCAGTCCACACCTGCCTCCAGGCCTGCCCCAGTCCACACCTGCCTCCAGGCCTGCCCCAGTCCACACCAGCCTCCAGGTCTGGAAGAACCGTACTGGGGGACCCTTGCTCGGCGGCTGCCTACCATGTGTTGGTCCACCACCACACGCGACGTCGTGTTTAGGA